CACTACCATGCCTGGCTAATTTTAGTATTTTTAGTAGAGATCAGGTTTCGCCATGTTGGCCAGGCTGGTCTGGAACTCCTGACCTCAAATGGTCCACCTATCTCAGCCACCCAAAGTGTTGGGATTACAGATGTGAGCCACAGTGCCCAGCCTGAGCCTCTACTCTGTAGGAGCCCTTTGGGGACAACTCCCAGAAAGCCAGTGGAGCACCACATTTTCTTCTCTGCATCCTCTGTGAAAGAACCTAGGACCTGTCCCAAAGCTCTCTGCTTGTGAGACCTTTCAGGGCGGCACTCTGCCTTCTAAAACATGGTGAGGTGGGCCACAGTGAGAAGTGTGACCCTTATGGCTCTCTCAGTGCTTCAGAGGCTCAGGGCAGGCGGGGCAGACCAGAGCAGCCAGGAGAGCGGGCAGCGGTTGTGGCCAGCAGGCTCCTGGGCTTGCCTGGCTGAAGGGGCCCAGTAGAGGGCCTCCTAGTTCACCGAATAGAAGAGGACTCCAGGCGCGGCGCGGCGGCTCACGCCTGTAATCCCAGCTCTTTGGGAGGCTGAGGTGGGTGGGTCACTTGAGGCCGGGAGTGCGAGATCAGCCTGGCTAATATGGTGAAACCCCGTCTCTACCAAAAATACAAAACGTGCTGGGCGTGGTGGCGGGCGCCTGTAATCCCAGCTACTCAGGAGGCCGAGGCACAAGAATCACTTGAACCCGGGAGGCGGAGGTTGCAGTGAGCTGAGATAGCGCCACTGCACTCCAGCCTGGGTGATAGCATGAGACTCAGTCTCAAAAAACAAAAGAAAACACAACAAAAAACCCAGAAAAACAAAAAGAGGACTCCAGTCTCCAAAGGATGGCGACTGGGCCTCATGGGCCCTGAGAAATTACGGCTGCCTGCACTTTGCCCCCCTGGGTCTAACTATTGCTGCGGGTGCTAGTGGCAGAAAGGAAGAACTCCATAGCCGATGAGGTGATGAATGGGAAGGGTCTGAATGTGGATAGTGTGGTGACACTGTCCTAGCAGCGCTGCCAAGAGTAAAGGAAGGAAAGGAGACTAGTGCTTGGAAAGTGAAGACATGGATTAGAACCTTGGTGCCGCTGCTCACTAGAGAGAGGACTTGGCAAGCCCTTCAGCTCCCTGGTTGATCCTGTGTACCTCCTGTTCCCTACGGCCTGCGTCTGTGTCTGCCATGGTGCATGGCACGGGCTTATGGTCTATTATGTATGTACTTTATAGTTCCACACCCATTCTTCTGCTTCCCACCAGATACTGAGCATGCTGGTGTCAGGGACTATGTCTCGTTCATCTTTGATTTTTCCAGTGCCCAACAAAGAGAACTGAAGGAGGTTAATGGAAGGAGTCAGACATTTCCCCAGTGGGGAAACAGCTCCTGCATCCACCATTTTTCCAATCTCCCCCCACCCTCTGCCTCCCATCTCCCTCCCTCCACCCCACTCACTGTCACTCAGTGAGTAGGGGCAGAGCGGAATTCAAGCCCAGGGGCCTCTCACGCCACTTGGAAGCTTACACTCCTGGTAACCATGCTTCCATCCGAGCTTCTCTAACTTGAGCAAACACTGGCACCCCCAGGGAGGGCTTATTTCAACACGGGTGCCTGGGCTCCAACACTTGCCCTTCTGGTGCAGTAGGCCAGAGTCTGGGAATCAGCATTGCTAAGTTCCCAGATGATGCTGAAGCTGCTGGTCCCGGGCCCATGCTCTAGGAACCGCAGCTACCAGGCCTCCCTGATGTAGATGTGGCTGTGCTTTCCAGAAGGGCTGGGCACATGCCCCTTCCTCATGGTGGGGAGACTTGACAGGAGCAGATTAGTGACTCATCAGAATAGAAATCTACATTCATATGTATATGCTGACATATACATATAAATAAGAATATACATATATA